AAGTTTTTTGTCATCTTCAGATATAATTGCAGACCCTTTAACAAAGGGATTGAGTTCAGAAATATTATCAAAGCATGTAGCTATGATGGGACTTAGAAATATCAAAGTCCAGAACTCCTAAATGGGATATTTTTTTCTTTGATGTCTTGCCAATAAGAGGAAAAACCGCATTAGCGTGAAAAACCCTATTACATGACTTTGGATATTTTTGTTATGAGATGTATAACCGCACTACCGTGAAAAGCCTCATGACAAAGATATGCTCAGCAATGTTGAACACTCTAAGTAGTAAAGACTTTATGATATTTCAATATATCTGGCTCTCATTGTCAAGTGGGAGTGTTGGTACGTGTGGGTGGTCATGGGGCCCTTAAACGTGTCATATTTCTCTCTGTTTATCTTCATCATATATTTTAATATTTATTATTAAAAAAGGGCATTCTTAGAGAGAGAAGATGTCATTATCCAACGGATAGAAAATAACTACCTACCGCCCAAAATTAGAGAGCCACGTTTCTCAGAGATTCCAGGAGGAAGCTAAACGTTGGAGAACGACCTCCTCTCATCCCTCTTTAAGAAATGTTTCATGGCTATGAAGAGTAATACAGAAAATCACAAAGTTATCATTGTTTTGGTAAAGCCTGATCTATGCGATCCCTAGTCTCACGATACTGCCATCAATTCCTGAGAGTTTGGTAGGTCCATCTCTTCCATCAAAAGTCCAACAACTGTCATATATACATATCTTGCAATAGTAATGTTGAGTACTTTTACCCTCAATCTCACAAGTTACCAACCAAACATAGGATAGTGCCCATCTCTCCGGTCTCAACAAAGGTTAACCCTATAAACTCTCTACGCTTGTATGTTATGCTTAATGCTAAAGGGTTTTGGACTCTTCCAAGCCTAGACCGCCAACCTAGGAGCGTTAATGGGCACTATAGAACATTGCTTCTCTGGTTACATATGGACCGCATTTCCACTAAATTATAATATCACATAATCATAGTTCTTATTTGCTCTCAAGGCATTTGAAGGTCATATACCCAAAACAATTTGTATCAAGTTACTCATTGCAAGATTTAAGTTCTCGAGAGAAAGAGGAAGAAAGAGGGAATAAGGGTGACAAGAGAGGGAGACATGTACATTATATTTGTCTCCTACATGTCCTTTCATAAAGTTTCTTATTCTAAAAGTTAAAATTGGTCGTGTTGGTTTTCTTGCACTTTTCAAAAGACCCATGCAAACTTTTTCCAAATTTAAAATATTCCTTTAAAACCAATTTTTTTCGGGGTAATTTTTGGTAACTTTGAAAAGGAGTACTTTTGACAAGGATAAACATAAGGTCATTTTTATAGGCTAAAAAAAAGGGAGGAAAGCCCCATGCAACATTTAATTCACTGAGTTTTCAATCTTCTATGAGAGAGGGAAAGAGTTTTTTTTTTTTACTTTGAGAGGGAGAGGGAGAGGCTTAGTATCCCTAATTTTTAGAGGTGAATGTTATCAAATGTTGATTAAATAACTTACAATCTTGGAGCGCAAATATTTTTACATTTTTCAAGCCCATGGTTCAAATAGAATGCAACCTGGGCCAGCTTCCATACCAAGGGCTTGTTAGGTAGGGCTGGAAAACTAGTAAGGCCATTGGCCTTGCTAGCCTAGCCCTAGCCCCACCCTGAACCCCATAGGGTAGCTAGGCCCGAGATTGGGCTAAAGAGGCCTTGGCCCAGGCCCGACTCTGGCCCTATCAAGGCCATGGTGGGCTAGGAACGGGCCAAAAGAAAAAAAAATGAAAATATAAAAGAAAACTATAAAGAACAAAAGGCTCAGGGCAGGGTCGAACCAGGTCTACCTTATCTTTGCCATGGGCCAAGCTCTGCCCTGCCCGGCCCTCCCACATTTTTGTAGCCCATGCCGACTGGGCTGGACGGGCAATAGGCCCACTACCACCCTTCTTATCAAGATGCCATCATGGACCATAATTTGGCGTTGTTGAGGTAGTGTACACGAAACTATTGAGATGGTGTTAAAAGTGATTGCCTATTTGTGTGTACGACTCCTTGGATGGATTTCATGTCTTTGGCCGTTTGCACGTGCAAGGGCTTGTGAAAAGCCGGGATTTGCTTTCAGCGAAAACACGAGAGATCTACATTATTCCAATCAGTAGTTGTGGCAAAGACAGGAATAAATGAATGTTTTCAAATGTTGTAGGGTATTGGCTAGGCATTGACAAATTTAATATATAATATATTTGGAATATTGTTATTCAAAATCTCAATTCCCTTGAAGGGAGGATTGATAAATGGGAAATAACTCCAAAGATTGAGAAGTTGTCGGGTCGAAAAGGGTGCGGTCGACCCAATCAAGTCCAAATGTGGACCTAGATAATGGAACCTTCCAAGCAATGGGGTTGATTAGGTCGTGCCTAGGTCCACTTGACCTTGACCTGACCCAACCAGGTAAAGCTTGGACCCTATCAAATGCAGTCAAGGCAAACCTTACACGACACGAGATACATACAAATACCTAAAAATATATTAACTATATTATAAAATATATATAGGGTGCGGTTTGTACAGAGCCGAGGCTCTAAACAATCAAAGTAAAAGCGTACCTTCAAATAGTATCGAGAAATGAGGTTTCAATATTGGAAATCTTTGTGATAGCGTTAAAATATATTTTCATTTGTAATTATAAAATTTAAAACTTCAAAAATATTGTAGATCGAGCATATCTATGAAAACTTAAAAATTGACAGTCCAAAAATGCATTACAAGATGCACCATCTCCAAAACTTGAAGTCCTTTTTTTTTTTCTCATGTCCATGCATCTTGAGGTCCAGATGATCAATTTGAGGATATTTGGACATCAAAACAATCTCTTCTAGTGAAAATTTTGATGTGCGCCCTAATTTGATTGTTTAGAGCCTTGCACTTAAATAAACTTTTTCATATATAAAATATATCTTTATATCTACATATTTTAAGACCAGATCTAACCCTATGAGTGGGGTCTAGTTCCAATTGATTTGGACCGAACCTAGGTTCAAGTCCCACTTAGATTTAATTGGATAAGGGTCTAGGTTCAAGTGTAACTTAGATTTAATTGGGTAAGGGTCTGATTTTAATTTGGTCGAAACCCATCTAAAAAATTTACATCGTTTAAACTTTAAAAGTTGGCATTGCGTTCAATAGTGAGGCCATTTTATCCCGTCATTTTTTGGAATGCGTAGTGAACTTCTGGAGCATCTTGAGTTTCGGGCTAGCAACGGGAACTTGATAAGGCCAGCCCAAACCTACCCTGCCTTGGAGCGGGCCAAAGAGACCCCGACCTTATTGGGGTTGGGCTGGCCCTCACTTGACCCTGACGCAAACTTGGTGAACTAAACCTATGCATCATATTTTATATCCCTAGACTATTGGACTACATTTTATGGCCGATACACGTGAGCTAGTTCATTTGGTCCGAGCTAGCTAACCCAAAGGGATAAAAGAGAAAAATATGAACAGGAAAAAAAGGTTTACCACATTTTGAATGGCATATAACATGGGTTAGTTTTTACGGTACACCCGTATAACATGGTTAATTTTTACGGTACTTAAAATGCCGTATAACATGGATTAATTTTTATGGTACTTAAAATGCCGTATAATATTGATTAGTTTTTACGGTAATTAAAGTACTGTAATTGACTTCACGGTAATACAACTACCGTGAAGGTTATTTTGATCAAAAAATTCTCAAAATTGAAGAAAAAAGGAGTGGGTGAGGTTTATGAAAATTGACGGTTTTTATCTAAATAGACAAAAAATAATGTATATTTGTGATAATTTCCCAAGTTTAATTCATTCGGGACTCATCCAAGCAATTTACAACGTTTAAACTTTAAAAGTTGGCATTGCGTTAAACAATGAGACCATTTTATCCCATATATTTTGGAATGCATAGGAAACTTTTGGAGCATCTTGAGTTTAGGGCTAGCAATGGGTCAGACCAGCTTAGCCCTTGCCAAGCTCTCGTCCCCATAAGGCTAGCCCAATCCGGCCCTGCCTTGGAGCGGGCCAAAGAGACCCCAACCCTATTGGGGTTGGGCTAGCCCTCACTTGACCTTGACACAAACCTGGCAAACTAAACCTATGGGCCATATTTTATGCATGGAAAATTATAACAAACCCCCAAGATTACACTTTCTATGTAACTTACCCTAACCTTACATTTTCTCTCACTTTTTTCCTCAAAATACACTTTTTATGCAAATACCCCTAACTAAATAAAAAAATAAAAAATACCTAAACTACCCTCCATTACTTTTACCTTACCCACATCTCTCTCATCTGTCACACCAAAACCTGTGTAAGTGCGGTCCGGCAGTAGGCCTCATACACTGTGTAAAGTGTGGTCCGACAATAGGGGTTTGACATTATCTAAAGTGTAGTTGGACAGTTGCAAAGGGCGGTCCGGCAGTATATGTTATTGGATTCCGGGGCTCCAGCATTATGTAAAGGGCGGTTCAAAAGCACTCAAATTCGGTTCGACTTAAAGTGGTCCGTCACTTATGCGCTCCTACAATGTGATGTTGCGCTCCGGCAATGTGTTATTGGGTCCAAAAGTCAGAATCTGGCCAAAATGATTTTTATACACTCCTATAATGTGATGGTGTGCTTTGCCAATATGCTTGTGGGTCCAAAAGTCAACATCAAATATGGCCAAAATTATTTTTATGCATGAAAAAGGTATTTTCGTTTAAAAATAAATTTTTTTCCTTGGGGGTATTTACATAGAAAGTTTGAAGTTTGTTTTGGAGAAAAAAGGGTGAGGAAATATTAAGTTAGAGGTAAATTACATAAAAAATCTTGGGTTTTTTTTTTTTTGATAATTTTTCCTTTTATATACCCTAAAGGCCTAGACGAAACCACTATTGGATTACATCTTGTGGGCGATACACGCGGGCCAGCTCATGTGGCACCAGCTAGATAACCCTAAGGGTTCGCCCTAACAGACAAATTAAAAAATGAAACGCCAACTATGCACATCAGCGCAGAATGGGTAGTCAGAGACCGATCCCGTACTTTCTCGAACCTCCTTTGGTGATAAATTTCTATTATAATCCAAAATCACTCCGTTTGCTTCCTGAATCCCCTCCTCTCTCTCTACCTCAGCTTCCCCACCTTCCCTTTCCTGCACTGAGTTTGTACCCTCGAACCCTGAGCCCACACCTTCTTTCTCTCTTCTCTCTACCGTGCCTGGCATTAAAACAAAAGAAGCTAGAGTATGGCCTTTGCACAGTCATTGAGGCCTTTGCCCCTTGTCCATCCCACTGTTACTGCTGCCACTCGAGTGATGTTGCCGCTCCGTCATCACTCCTTGCCACCTCATCTACAACAATCCCACAAATTGCTCCGCTCCACTTTTCTCTTATCTCGTCGTGCAAAAGGTTATCTATTCTTTTTCCTTAATTAGTATTTTTGTTTACTAGTTTTCGTCTCAGAACCTCCTATTCTTGCTCTTTCTTTTTAATATAGTTAGGCTAGGTGGTTTTATTAGTGGATTTGTATGCTGGGGATTTTTTTGCCGCTTTAATATAGAATTCATTTGTTATGCTGATGATGTTGCCGCTTTGATCGCTTCCTTTTGAAAAACCCTAGTTAGGTTGCCTATCGCTGTAATGTTCTATGTTGAATGTTGTTGTCCAGAATGATATTTTTTCTCTCTATCTCTCTTATGTCTTTAGATGTTTGTTGGGGTAACCAGACATAGTAAGGGGGGTGGTTATCTTAAGGCCGGTCGGTTTTGCATTTTCTTCTTGGGATTGCTGAACACTGACGAATGTTGTATTTAATCCATGTATCTAGCCATTGCATTCACTATTAGGGTATCTCCTTCACTGAAGGTGAGATTGGAGTTGTTTACTTTAATGGCCACATGAGAGGTGGTGGCTCTTATTTTCATCTCAAACATTCAATATCGTGTTTATTTGTTTCATGTCGAGAAAGAATTCACGATATTATGAATATTTCTCCATGAATCATGATATCATGGTGATTAGTTGGGCAAAACAAAATCCAGTAATAATAATAATAATTAAAAAATCCAGGTTTGAATATTGAATCCATCCTCCTCTGAAACTTTGAGGGAGCATTTTTGACTCCGAAGTGCATCACTAGCCATTCATATAATCCTTCAGGAGTTGAAAAGGCTGTTTTGTGAATATTTTCTTCTTCAATTTTCACTTGATGGTACCTTGACTTGCAATCAAATTTTGAGAAAATCCTTTTTCTGCATCTCTCTGTATCAATTCTATCATTTGAGTTATCAACTCTTCATCCTCTTTATTGCATCTAGTGTTTCAAAAAGCGCCTAGGTGGCCGTGGGGGTCCAGGCCGTCTAGTGCCTAGGCGGGCGCCTAGAACTTGGGCGGCCCAGTGGTGCCCGAACCTGCGCGGCTCAGTAGTAAGACAAATGTTAGAATTTTGATATTCTAACTATAAATGAGGACAATTTTGATATTCTAATCACAAATATTAGAATTTTGATATTTTTTTTATAATCCATATTTGATATTTCCATGGATGAGGAGAATTTTGATAGTCCATAATTCATATTTTCACACCATGCTAAAGCCATACAAGCATACATTGATACACACAAAAGTTGGATAGTATAAAATAGAAACTAAAAATAAGAAAAAAATATACAGAAAAAATATACAGTTTAGGACTCAATAGTGAACATTCAACAGTCAACACCAAGAGTTAAGCGTCTTCAATTCTTCATTCTTTAGTCATCATCATCATCATTGTCATATGTATCAGATTCGATGCCATTATTATTAGAGTCATCTCCCTTTTCAACATAATGCACGTCCTCCTCTGTTTCTTCTAAATCTGCCTCTTCCTCCTCTTCTTTTACCTCCCTCTTACTCTGTGTAGATGAGGCCGTAGGAGTCTTGGCTGCTCTACCATTTTCTATCTTTTTGTGCTTCCCTGAACTCAAATATTGTATAATCTCCTCTCTGGTAGCCTCAAGAACATTTTTACACAAGGCAAGATCTCCCTTAATGCCGACAAGGTGTTTTTTGAACCGGTAATTATCCCCATTAGTATCCTTTCTACAATAATTACATTTGATACGATTTTTGTCATTCGGATTCAGGTTATGACCATACTTCCAACTCGGATCACCACTTCTAGAATAACCTAGAGAAAATATTTCCATAAAACAAGGCTCATTTTCATCATTTGTTGGTTCTACTAAATTCAATAATTGTCTAATCTCATGTCAAATAGCGCCAAAAACATTTTTACAAGAAGCAACATTCCCTTTAATACCGTCAACTTGTTTCTTGAATCGGTTAATACCCCCATTGGTATCTTTTTCACAAATATTATGCCTTATACAATTTTTATTGTTTGGTTTCAGTTTATGACCATACTTCCAACCCGGATCACTTTTTTTAGCAGAACCAGAAATAGGCCTATCCAAATGACGAGGATTTTGTTCCTGTTTTTGTTTTACGGAAGTCATAAATTGATTAATCTCCTCTCTGATAGCTTCAGTAATATTTTTACAAGGGGCAACATTCCCCTTAATCTTGACAAGATGTTTCTTAAACAGGTTTATGCCACATTTTGTATCTTTTTCACAATAATTGCATCTTATACAATTTGTCATTCGGATTTGGGTTATTTCGACTAGATTTTGAAGAAGACATCTGAAAATAATGCAAGCAATCTAAAAAATAAAGTTTGGCACTTAGTTTGATTACTCGAACTCCAAACTTCCACCTCTGAGATGTTTTCTGGTGCGAAGGCCCTAGGCGCCCGCCTAGGTGAGTGCCATACTGCCTAGGGACCGCCCACCTAGTCCTGGACCGCCTAAGTGGCCCGCTTTTTGAATCACGTATTGCATCTTATAGGCTTACTTTGAATTGGGATATCATGGAGAGTTGGTATATGAGCTTTAGGTGGATCTTTATCCCAATTTTCCAAAGGATGGTCAACACAACAATTTTTGAAGATTTATGTGATTTCTCTTATATCAAGCAATTTTGGACTAGCTTCTAGGCTCATGCCCTTTATTTGTCTGATGATTTCATTTTTTTCATGCTGCTTTTCTAACTGTCGAACATTTTTCATAATTTTTATTATAGAAGGATTGCTTTGAATTTTTTTTGTTCTCATTTTGAAAGTCGGTGATTTGAGGTACAATTTCTTTTTCTCCTTCCATAGTAAAAACTATCAAATCTTTTGATATTGTGTAAGGGCTTATCTCATCTAGAGTTACAGAGCTTATTCTTGCTTGATATCCTCCATTGTTAATATTAATAAAGTCGATGAAAACTATTTTTCCTCCAATTTTAACTAAATATTAATGGCAAATTCTGTTAATTTTCTTGTACCATTCATTGTATCAACTTCTTGTTATTGAGAATATTTCGCACAACTTTTCCATAATTCTTTGGTCCAAAAATTTATATTAGCGCTGATATCAAGCAATAACACTTATCTTTTTTCAATTTTCACCTCCATCTATAGCAATTTTTGCTGGCACTAGTAACAAATTTTGTGAGTGCACCATTTTTTGAATTTGATACAAATTTTCTTTTGAAATGTCATTCTCTTTGAATGGTTTTTCAAACAATTTCATATAATCACCCTTATAGTCACTTTGAAACTTTGTTTTAACTTTTCAATTTGAGCATCTTCATAAAAAAAAACTAATGAATCATTGGACTCATCATCATTGGATAGAGAACTTATAGTCTTTTTCGATTATTTGCTAAGGGCAGGATGTTGAGCATACTTCTTGTTGTTTGTTCTTTTCTTCTGAGACCACATCTTTCCAAGTCATCATTTTACGTTTCCACCATTTCTTCAGTTTCATTACTTTCGTCACCTATACTTGCATCATTTGGAGCAGGAGTAGAAGTAGATGCAGAGCCTAAAACTTTTCGAGATCTCCATTGCATAACAATTTTTTTTTTTGACTCCAATCAACTCCAAAAAATTTCTTTTTTGAAATTTCAACCAATACAGGGCAAACAAAACCATCATTTTGGGCCAAGTATAAGTGTGAAAGAGCATAAAATTTTCCTCCATCATTACTATTGTGCAGACTTCCTCAAGATTCGATCATATGTACTGGATATGCTTCAGTACATATCCACTCTTTTCTTTCAGCCTTTTTCTTTGGGTGAAATACTCGAAGATCATGCATCATACATGGAATAATTAAATCCCATTCTCTCATGGAGGAATATTTGTTCTAATGATGTAAACACTTGATTTTCAGTAAAGTATATCCAAATTATTTGTGATTGGCTTTTTTGGGTAAGTGATGTTATCATAAAACTATTCACAAGCCATTTTTGGAAAAATCTTTTGCCTACTACACTTCACTGCGGCAGATAGGGAGCAAACAGGAGCGAGCCTATGGGCTCTGATACCAGAAAGGGGGAGAGAGGTGAAGAGAGTTGAGAGAAGAGAAAAGTCTCAGTGAGAGAAGTCTCAGTGAAAAAGGAAAGGTTTTAGGGACTCAGATAGAGTGATGTGGACTTAGAAAGAGAGTCTAAAGAGGGTTCTATTTATAAAGAGAGGGTGTAAAAAGTGTTCAAGGGAGGACCATAAAAGAGTTTGTAAAGAAAATATGAAAAAATACGAAAAGAAATGTGAAGGGCTTTAAATGAAGGAAGTACAAAGATGTAAGAACAAAGTACAAAAGGGTTTTAATGAGGGCGTACTCAATAATTGAAGGGAGAGGTAAAGAAGGGAGAGAGTTCTACGAAGGACTTTAAGAAGCGTAGAGAATAATTATTTTTTGGGATTTTTGATAAGAACTGAAAGAAACACACAATGAGAGAGATTTAAAAAGAACAAAAGGGACGCAGAGAGATATTCAAAATCCTTTTTTATTTTATTTTTTTGTTCAAATTGGGTTACCTGGTAGGGCGGGTAACAAGGAGGTAGAAAGCAAATAGGTGAGAAGTTTGACGAGGAAGCTGAGAGAAGCAAGTAACAAAATCTTACTGTAAATAATAATTAGTATTTGCATGCAGGAACATCTGGTGCATCTCAGAATATTAGCAGAAACTATGCAGAAACATGGAATAGGCCTTTCTTCTTCTAAAGGCAAATTTCAGATCGCCAAAGAATCAATTGATTTTCTTGGTATACATATCTCCAAGGGCAAAATACAGATGCAGCCCCATGTTATTATGAAAATTGGAAAGTTTCCAGATAAGCTGCAAGATAAGTTGCAATGCAAAAATATCATGCGTGTCTCAATTATGTTCGAGACTTTATTCCTAAGCTTTTTGAGAAAATCATGAAATATAGACAAGCTATGAAAGAAGAACCATTTCGATGGTCTACAGAAGTTGCTCAGCAGGTAAGAAACTTGAAAACAAAAGCACAATCTTTGCCCCCTATTGCACCC